CGAGTTGGTGTGCGCAGATGATGCGCCCCCGCCGAAGCTCCCCCTTTACGTTGTCGTCAAGTTTGAAGGGTACTCGGGGGGGGAATGGTCGTCTCAGGAGAGGTATAGACGTTGTGTCCCTATTTCTCCCGTCGACACCACCTGGCAGGACGGGGGGACGCAGGTCAGGACGCAGCTGCCCCTTAGGCTCTGCTGGGCAATTACGATGCACAAGTCCCAGGGGCAGACTTTAGCCAAGGCCGTCATTGACTTGGGGCCCAAGGAGGCCTGCACGGGGCTTACTTTCGTCTGTCTCAGTAGGGCGAAGAGACTTGTGGACCTCATGGTAGAGCCCATGAGTTTCGACAGGATTGGTAACCTTGGAAATTCGCCGACGATGAAGGCTAGGCTGCAGGAAGAGGTTAGACTTGGGGAGTTAGCACAGAGTACGAGGGTCAAGTACACGGACATGGGCGTCTTCAGCGCCGTCGCGGGTAACCAATGACGTGAATTGCAAAGAGAAAAAGAAGAAGAAAGGGTCTCTTCCACCTCCCGCGGACGCACACGTCTGACGACAGTTACATCTATCAGCTGTCGCTCGTTTTAGCGACAGCTACTATATCTTCAGTAAAGGACACCATGAATAGGCGTCGTGCGTGCTGGCACGTACGTTCAGGTTTACTACTGGAGCTGAAATATCGAAGGTCGCAGCAACCTCTGAAAACAGTCCGAAATCTGCGCCGAAACCAAGCGGCATCCAACATTTGTCGCAGCCGTGCACACCGCCGTGGACCGTAAACTTCTCAACGGAGGCACACCCTGTACAAATGCAGTATTTGGTAGTTGATTGGGAATCAACTACTTTCCTGAAAAGCTGCGCAACTTTTTGGTTCCAGTCAACCATTGTTTTGATTAGCTGGGCAACTGTTTGATTGCAGTCAACTATTTTCCAGAAATACATGTTGAATTAACTATTTGGTTCTTCTAGTCAACTACTGTTTCGAATAGCTGAGCAACTATTTGATTGCAGTCAACTACTTTGTCAGAAACAAGTGCTGAGCAAAATATTTGGTTCAAGTCAACTACTGTTTTGAAAAGCTGCGCAAATATCTGGTTCCTGTCAACTGCTGTCTTGAAAATCTGCGCAACATATTACTATTGGTTCCACTGAACTACTCCCGGAGGCAACTCTGTGTCGACTATTTATATTTGTCCTGACAACTATTTTGAACACTTCGTGCTTGAAAGTGAGGGGTCGGGGGATCGCAGGGAGCCCACCCTGATGTCATTGGATGGCAGATTAAGATTGGTTCCGGAAACGTGCATCGTCGAATCAATAGTGAGTGCATGTATCTGAGTCCCCGTCATCGAGACGTAAATCAACAAGATAAGGTAATCGAAGCGACAAAAAAACAATAGTTTTGCCCCGACTATATAACATTACGTCCATCATCAGCCCGTGTGTGTGCGTGTGTGTGGCCCGTGCCGTGGGCCCATGGGCTGGATCTTGGAGTTAACTGGTTTCAACTGACCAACTCTGACAACTGCTTGCTGTGCCACGTTGCAGAGGTCAAATCCAACGGTACTCAAGTATCTCCGCTCTCACAATTTATTTGCCCGCTAGCGACTGTTTGGTTCCAACCAACTATTGTTTTGAAAAGAAGAGCAACTATTTGATAGCAATCAACTACTCTCCAGAAACAACGTTCAGCAAATATTTGATTGCAGTCAACTAGTGCCTAACACAGACGATCGGGAGAGATTCGGGTGATTGTCAATTGCTGCTATGATGGCTTTGGTTGGTTGTTCTTTTTCACTGTACGGCCGCAGACACATTTTGACAGCACTTCAGACAGCAGCTTTGTGCCCCGCCAGCTGCTTGTTCCATGCCTACCATGGTGTTTTTGTACAGACAGCACTTCAGACAGCATTATGCTGTAGTCGGCAATCTTCCGTTTTGGTATAGAGTGGGACAGGGAGGGGGTGATGCTACTGTAGTCGAACGGTGGGACGGACGTGCAGTTCAGTTTTTGGGCACGCATACGGTGCTGCAGGGATTTTTAGGTGTACCTCTTCGGGCTCTTGCATACCTTTTTCTCGTCAGATGTGTGCGTGTTCTTTAGATGCTGAGATGGCTCTAGCACTTTCGTGACCACGGGCTGAGAGTCTTTTGCTAGATTTTGGCATTTAGCAACTGACATACGGTTTAATGTGAAGACAAACAACAACTATTTCGAAAAGCTGAGCAACCATTTGATTGCAATCAACTACTTTCAGAAATGTTGAGCTAATATATTTGATTGCAGTCAACCATTGTTTTGAATGCAGTGCCGGCCCACTCGTAAGAAACACCCTCCTCGTGAAAAACCGAGGCTCATATTTTTTGGTGGCTTAAGAAATAGTGCCTAAGAAATTGAGCTACTTTGACGGAGAGTGACAAGAAACGGACTGATAGAAACAGATGATCCAAGGTTGGCCGCAGGAAATAAGAAACGGCGTCCACGCGGTTACAATGGGCGTGGGCCTTCTTCCGCCGCAGGAGGGTAGGATCTCCTTGAGACCGCGTCGGCGGGCCCCCCAGAAGCGCCGCCACCGCTCACAAAAAAACTCGTGTTCTTCATGCACAAGGGGNAACAGATGATCCAAGGTTGGCCGCAGGAAATAAGAAACGGCGTCCACGCGGTTACAATGGGCGTGGGCCTTCTTCCGCCGCAGGAGGGTAGGATCTCCTTGAGACCGCGTCGGCGGGCCCCCCAGAAGCGCCGCCACCGCTCACAAAAAAACTCGTGTTCTTCATGCACAAGGGGGGCAATGCCGCTTTCAGACGCATCCATCGGCAACCTCGAGAGGTTGTCGAAGTTTGTTGATGCGGGCTACATCAAGGAGAGCAGCCACAAAGATTCCATCAAGAAGCACGTGATGGCCAACAAGCTCATCGATGACAAGTTCTGGTCGCATGTGGAGCGCACGGCCAACTTGCTGTCCAGCGGCATGTGTACGGCGGAAGACTATCGAGAGCAGCTAGATGCAAAAGGTGCAGACCTTTTGCGAGACGGAGCACCACGGTCGGCAGCGGCGAGCGGAGAAGCAGCGGTTGGTGGGTCGCAGGTGGTGGAGACTCCTAGGCCTGCACAGAAAAAGGGCAACCGCACGGCCAAGGAAGCGGGGGCGGCGGCAAACACGATGCACGAGAACATCGTCAACTGCTGGGCCGCAGCAACAAACAAGCCGGTGAGTTGGTTGGAGATTCCGTTTGCATCCTTCGGCCATGTTCGTGAATGACATGTGTTTGTCCGGTACATCACCTGCTTCGTCTCCCTCGCCCGCATTGTTCGCCGGCAGAGAAAATAAAGCACGAAAATATTCTGCGGAAGATTCTTTTGGTTCACCATCGAGTTTGCGGACGCTGTTTCGAATCCTGGCCGTGGCCTTGTTTTTTTACTCTTTTTTGTCAACTTTTTTTTCTGCAACACTTACTTGCAGCTGGTGTCGAAGTGTGCCAATCTGGCCGGCAGAGACACCAAAACACGAAATGTTTTGCGGGGGATTCTTTTGGTTCATCATCGAGTTCGAGGGCGCGGTTTTGAATCCCGGCACCGCCCGTTGTTTTGCTCTCGTGAATTTTTCAACTATTCCTTTCAGCGACACTTGCTGCTGTTGTCAAAGCGTGCCAATCACGTGCCGCTGCCGTTGAAAATGTCTGTTGAAAAGTACTTGGAGGGAAAGTTGACAAACATCTTTTGCTGCACTCTAAAATCTCCGTACTCCGGGCCTCGCTATGCTGCTATTTTATCGCAGATCAAGCGTACCCGCAACGGTATCGTGGAGGAAGTCACGCGCGTCCACTATCCCATCGCACCACCTCCTCCCAAGTTGAAGTGCCTGTACTGCCCGAAGACCTTTGCCTCCGAACAAGGTCGATCGGTACACTGTAGTGCCGTGCACCCAGCTCCTCTGCGGCATCTTGGACGAGGGCTCAGGCACGCCCTCGCGACCGGTGGGACCATGACGACTCCACCTCGGCACGGGTATTCGGGCAGGTGTTTTCATGTCGTCTTTCACCACTCAGAGGGAGGCGGGCACACCACTGCGGCGGGCCAGGAAATGTACCACGTGCGAGGGAGTTGTTCGTTTGAGCTACAGCCAAGGATTCAAGGCGATGGTACATCAGACTTTCCAGATGACGGCCTTTTGCCGGACGAAGAACGCACCAAGCGGAAGAAAACACGAGGGGCTGAGAAGAGGACGCAGTACAGCAACAGGAAGAAGGCTGCGGTGGTCGCGGAGCTGCGAGAGCTGGAGGCAAATCACACCGAAAAGATCTGGCATGTTCACAGCGTGTCGTGCCAGCAGTTCCTGGCAAGGAAGACCGGCATTCCCCAACCCAACATCTGTGGAACGTTGAGACTTGAAGAAAGACCTTTTCAAGACTGGCAGGGAGAGGAGGTGGTTCGGAGACGCAGAAAGAAGCTTCACTTGCTGCTGCTGCAACGGCGCAACAGGAAGCTCAGAGTGTGGACAGTCTGGATTCGAGTCAACACGAGAAAGCTCGTGGTGGAAATGTATCCGGACGACCCGAGTGCAAAGAAATTTTCAGCGTCGGACCGGTGGTGCAGGAAGTTCGCGAAGCGCCACCATTTCTCGAAACGAAGGCGCACAAACACGAAGAACAAGTCGGTGGAGGACCGTCTTCCGCAGATGAAGAGATTCCACAGGAGGCTGCGCCACCTGCTGCAGGAACCACCCGTTCGTCGGGCCGCTGCTGGGGGCGCCGCCGAGAACGACGGCGCTGCGATCGTTCCTGTGGAATCGCCCCTCTACGGGCGCTTCAGCCTGAATGCGCGACGTCGACCAGGCTGGGCTCGCTATCGTCAACGGCCTCGACTCGACATGGGACGAGACGGGAGCTTTACGAGTGCAACTTAGGCAACAGTTCCGTGGTCTTGACAAGCGACAGTGCACCGTCAACTGTTGCATCGGAGGTGGCGACAAGTTGATGCGGACCGCGGTCATTCAAAGGCAAAGTCTCGGCGGTGGAGAAGGCGACGTACGACCCCGGCGTGGACGTGCTCTTCCAGGAGAACGCGTGGATGGACGGCCCAAAGTGCATGGCGTGGGCATAAAACAGCTTCCTACGCAGCATCAAGGCGGAAGAAGATGTTGTTCCAGAGGAGCAGTCTATACTTTTCTCAGACCACCTGCACGCGCAGACAACGGACGAGTTCAAGAAATTCCTTCACGGCGAGTGCAACACGCTGATGTGGCTACTTCCCCCCAAGTTGACCGACGAACTCCAAACGGTCGACGCCGGCTATGGACGCCTCCTCACAGTCGAAGTCGGTAACGAGCTGGATGAATTTCTTGGGCACGAGGAAAGCCTTTGCCTGTGGGAGACCAGCAAGCTTTCAGCTGGTGCAAGGCGAATCCTTTTCCCGCGATTCATTGCAAGGGCGGTCGCGCGAGTGGACGCTCGGCCTGGGTACCGCCATCGCCTGTTTGAGAAGACCGGACTGGCGATGACGGCAGACGGGTCGTTGGACGACCGCATCACTCCGGAGGGTGTAGTTGGGGCGTACAACTTTCATGGACGGGTACACGAACAGTGACGAAGAGATTCCCGACCAGGATGATGAGGTCGGCGACGACGATGGGGGGGCGGGCGGTGCCGAATCAAGCTGCGACAGCGACGCAAGCGCAGATGATGGTGGTAAGTTTTCGAGTCTCGGTCCGGTTTGTATTTCGCCTTTGCCCCTCGTTTTGCATGCACTGGTGGAGGGCAGTGAATTTGTTCAATGGCGCGTGTCTCACGCCGGCTTTTTCTCGACAATTTTTTTCACATCGCTTCCTTTGCCAGGTGATGAGCACGGCGATGTTCAAGACCCCCTGTCACGGCTAGACAACGACGATGACATCATCGCGATGGAGCTTCCGGTCGGATTCCGCCTTCAAGAGTCTCCTCCAGAAAAAGCTGGATCGCCCATTGATTAAGCGTTGCGTGTTCTTGAGGCGTGGTATGGGGTGGTTCTTGGGGCAGATAAGCCGGGCAGCGCCCCCGCAAACTAGCCACACGTACGACTACCGCGTGGTTTTGGCGTACGATCAAAGCACCAGCAGTGTGACGATGCCTCTAGATCCGTACGATGTAGACGAGGCGAACGCAGCCGTAGGAGCGTGGGCGTTGACCCCGCGGGTAGTGCAAAGCTTCGTGGTTGGAAAAGCAAATAGGGATGATAAGAAATCGTGCAATTTGCATGGTGGCGAAAAGATAGGAAACGGCGAAAATAAGAAATCGTGCAATTCTCGTCGGGGAAAAATAGGAAATGCCGGCATAAGATATTCAGCTCACTATGGCCGCGGAAATAAGAATTGAGTCTCAGCTGAAATAGGTGTTTCTTACGATTGGGTCGGCACTGTAGCTGCACACCTATTTGATCGCAGTCAGGATGTGTCTTATCGACAGAATCAAGATCAGAAATCGAAATCAAAAATAAATCAGTTGAAGTCCTGGAAGAGCCAACGAACATCTGCTGTGATTGGATGGAATAACTTTCCACCTGTCCGTCGGAAGCATTTGGATGGAGACCGCACGGAATCTTCCTATGCTTAAACTCGAACTCAAATAAATGCAAAAACATTAAAATCGATGTCGACTTTTGCGAACAGCGCACGTGGCGGGCTTTTGGGTGTGTAGGGGCCGGGTTTTTGTGCCGATTTGACACATCGAGGACCACGCCTTGGCATCTTGGCATGTGGAGGACACCCACCACTCACGCGCGAGCGGCAGTAAGCAGAGGAGACGATGTCACAGCCTGGGGCAAACGGTGACGGGCGGTACAACTTGGGGCCGAACACCCCAGCGCAACTGCCCAACAATGTAGTTGGGTTTCACGCGGCGCCGACGGCCCGTTATCATCAGCAGCTCCAGGAGCTGTCTCATGCGCTTCTCTGTCTTTCCTCGCAGCCATGAGCGGCGGCTGGCAGGAGCGCGAGTCATTCTTTTGGAATGCGGCGCGACGCTGCGGACGTCGTGTCACGGAACTGGCGGGCTGTTCGCCGCTTGAAGTGGGCGCTTCACGGTGTTCCTCAATTTCGATTTTGATTTTGGTGGTTTCTCGATAAGACACCGCGGGCGAATTTGGGCGACTCTTCACTTAAACTGATTTTTTATTTCGATTACTGATCTTGATTCTGTCGATAAGACACATCCTCAACTACTTTTCAGAAAAGCTACGCAACTAACCACCTCTTGAAAACCCTGTGCAACTGTTTGTTTACAGGCAAATACTCGTAATAGTTGATTACACTCAAATAACAGTTGTATTTACATTTGATATTTTTACAGAATGTGGAGGGTTGTCCGCAGTAGCTCGTGGCATGAGCTACTGCTGTAAACGCACAGTTTAGGCGATTGGGGTCCGTGGCGGTGAGCACGGCTGCGACAAATGTTGGATGCCGCTTGGTTCCGGCGCAGATTTCGGACTGTTTTTCGCGATGCCTTCCGACTTGCCTTTTGTGACTGGTACACAGTTTCTGGTGCTCTTGCGTATGGTTTTATAATTAGTCAACATTGAACTTGCTGTTCTGGGGGCCCTTAACCCTTCTGGCCCTGGGCCATTCGCCCTCCCTGTGACCTGCGGACCCCGATGCGGCGGGTCTATTCAAAACATGAAGGAGGCGCACAGCGAAAAAGTACGCAAAACGTGCGCATGTACTTCTGGTTGCAGTTGTCGTTGTGGGCACACAGGGAGGGTGGCGCCGTCCCGCGACTGGCTCAACATGTTGTTTAGGGTACAAGAAAGGTTGCCTGGCCTCCATCCCCAGATGTCTCTGGTGTTTTTTCCCCTCTGATGTGTCCATCCCCAGCTCAAACGACTTCTATTTCAGTACGTTCAGATCCCCATTTTTTCGGAGCAAGCCGGTGTGTCAAATGATCATTTTTTTCCCTCCGAAGGTAATTTTACTCCAAGTGTACTTCTCTGCACTTGCTCCGTGACTGCACGGTGAGGCCTTAGGCCTCACCCACGGGCCACCCGAGAGACGGCAGCAAGCACAGACACGAGCATACGCTGCGTGCACACACACGAGACCATGGACAACCTTCCTACCCCTAACGTTGCAGGGTACGTGTCTGGTAACGACGAAGCGTGCTCCCAAGACTGAGGTCCTCAGACGGCCTGTATGACCCTTCATGCGCCTGCCGGCGTACCCCTACCGTGCGTGTGTGTGGATGTGCTGTGTGTCGCTCTGCCGCTCTGTGCCAACAGAGGTGCTATACAACTCCCTGCGTGGTGGTTCGGGGATTTTTCTTAACTGTCCCCGTATCGAGTAGACCGGATTACTGGCTGGACTACTGGGCCTCGGTGATCACTTTTTTGATCAAAAAAAAGTGGGCGAAGCCTCAGAAGGGTTAACCAACATGGCTTTCCATGGCTGGAGAATGTTGCACAAAAAGTTGCAAACTTTTTCTCCCACTTTGCTCGGGAACTTTGTCAGTAACACTCTTGGTGCACGTTCATTATGGGACGAAGAAAGTTTTGTGCACAGGACGGCGGAATGCGGAGGCGTGATCTTTTTTTAGCAACGACGAGAAGAAGGGCAGAGCACCCATCGCCCATAAATAGGGAAATTTATTTATTAGACACGGAAGAATTATGTGTCTGAGGGGTACAGCCGGCTAGACTCCCATCTCCCACCATCACCCGTCGGGGAGTTTGTAAAGACATGTTGTAAGACAGACACAGATGATTGGGCGATGGGCACGACGCTGTCGGCAGAATCACCGAAATCCTCTTGCACAGCGGCAATACACACATCACGTAGACAACACACGAGACCAGCCCAGCAGTATATGGACTACTGTAGGTCAAGGTCACAGCTAAAGGCACACCTCATCGTAGGTGTTGGGTAATACTCTTCTTGCAGCCCGTTGCCTGCTGTCGGCAGCACAAGCGAGTGACGGCGCAAGTCAATCCGCGGTCCGTCCGCATCATCCTCAACCTACCGATCTTTGGAGCTTCCCGCACAGACGCATCCCTACAACAAAGAAAATGAGGCCTAACACTGCTGCAGGCCAAGGCCGGCTAAAGGCACACATCATGGCTGGCGTCGGAAGCTATTTTTAAACCCCGGGGCTGCCAGCAGCGTAAGCGAGGGAACACGCGAGTGCACGTAGGTCAGATCCATCTCTGTCTGTCTGCGGTCTCTTCGTCTGCCGGCCGAATTTTGCTTCCATAACAGACGTACACCAGAAAGAGAAACAAATATGACTAGACGTACACAGCGCTGTCGGCCAAGAACGGCCAAATACACAACACGTCGTGGGAGGGGTCGGGGTCAATTTTTAGAGCCCGTTGCCCTCTGCTGTTTAGTAGCGAAAGCGAAGAACGTAAGAGCGCACCCATCCACATTAGCAGCAGCAACAACCGCAGCAGCAGCAGCAGCGCTGCTGCTGCCGCTGAGCTGGTGGAAATGAGAGCTAAACAGCGCTCCCAATCACGCTGAGCTGATGATAATGAGAGCTAAACAGCGCTCCCATTCATCCCCTGACTGACTTATGGTATCGGGTGAGGTGTAAGCGTGCGCACTGGTGACCTACGTGGTGGCGTAGGCTACATCCATATATACCTACGCTTGCTTTGATGTCTCTCTCGGACCCGTAATTTCGCGCTTCGCGCGAAATAATTTTATTGTTTTTGGTTGGACCCCCAGACTATGTATGGGAGGGGAGCCAGAAGAAGGCACACGCGTTTCATATAGCACCGCGAAAAATAAGGTCAGAGCGTGCGGTATACTCCACACTAACGATACCCCAAGGCATCTAACCTGGTACCAGAAAGATACTGGGTAGAGCTGGCTCCTTCGGGGTGGCATTGCTGTTGCTCTTTGCCTCTTTCTTCGAAAAGTGATCGCTGGAAAACCAAACCATGAGCGCACAATCCCTGCCAACTTGAACCAACCGCTCTCTGACGTGGGTACTTTAAGGTCGATCAAACCTTGTTTCCCGACACACACGATGCCCCACGGCACCAAACGTTGGGCATGAAAGATGGAGCAGAGAGCTACCTCCCGCGGAGTGGGCTTGCAATTGCTGTTTCTTCCTCCTTCGGAAAGTTTTCGGTGGATAACCTAACCCGTGGCGGTCAAAAACACCGAACTTGAACAAACCGCTTCGTGGCGGGTTGACGGTCGTTGCGCTTCGCGGCAAGAAAAATGCAGAACTTGAACATTTTCTGCAATATTTTGGAGCCATCAAGAGCGGTGTAAAGGATGGCAGAACACGAACGAACTTTGATGTTGACAAATTGCAAAAATAAACGGAAGAGCACCAGAAACGCACAGAAAGTCCATGGACGACGTAAACGAAAGAGCCGAGCAGATGTGTATCTATTTGTCGTCAACAAACGTTTAACGATCATTTCAAAAGACAACTTGTGTTGCGAGGTACTGTGCTATAAAAAGAAAAATGTGTTGATGCGTTTTTTTTTTATCAGCATCGACCGCGCTAACCGGCTGACCAGACGTCAGTGCCAGCAGGTGAAAATCAAGGTCCCTGGAAGGGGGTCATACTCGAAAATGCGCAATGCGCTAAATGCGAATGCCAATACGACTCTCTCTGCAAATTCTTTAACGTAGACACACATGCCAGCTACACAAATGCCCTCGCTCGAATCTAGGCAGCCACTGACGCAAATAGCGGAGGACAGCAAGAAAGAGGGGTAATTCAAGCCCAGCCGAAGCCAGGATATCGTGGTAGGCTGCATCTCCCAACTTTATACTCCCAAGATCCAACAGTCATCGTGTCAGCAGCTAGTTGACTCAAACAAAATAGCAACACACGCACTGTCATAGCTCCACGCATGCCCTCGCCCGAACCTAGGAAGCCACTGATGCAAAAGCAAAGAGCGGAGGACAGTAAAAGGGTTAATTCAAGCCCAGTCGAAGCCAGGATATAGCGGTACGCTGCATCTCCCAAGTTGATAATCGTACACTCCCGAGATCCAACAGTCATCGTGTCAGCAGCTAGGTGATGTGTGCGTGTGAGCAAACGAGTCTCTTTGTGCCCTTCGCCTGCGCTGTTTGAGCGACATGTATGTTTGGGAGTCCTCTTGCACACACACACTGTAGTTCGTGTCGTTCGCAGTTCGCATGAAGCTGTCGTTAATAAGGTTCACCTAAATTGAGGCCCAGCAAAACGTAAGTTTGGGGGGGGTTGTTTTGTTGTTTTCACATTAAAAACCGTTCCGATCTCTCTCTACCCAGTACCTTCATATGTCCGTACTGATCCAACACTTGACGCGGTCGATTCCCGTGGTCACAAGCTACCTTACCCTAAAAAGGTACACTCAAATAAACTGGCCCGGAGGAGGCCGCAAGTCGGTAGAAATCAACGACAGATATTCTGGAGTCCTCCGCTCCCTCTGCGCGCCATGCTGGGTAACAACTGAGGCTAGGAGTCAGCATCACGGGTCAGAGAGAAAGAGGTACACCCCCTTGGTTGAATCTTTGGACTTCACAGCGCCAGCAGAGACAAGGCCATCTGACACAGAAAGAGAGAAAAAACGAGAGAAAAAAGAGAAAAATAAGGGAAACAGGAAGGAAAGAGAAAATAAAACAAAAAAGAGCGAGGACAACGAGGGACCAGGCCGAAAATAGCAAGAAACAAGAGACAGAAAAAGGCACACGGTGGAGAGACGACTAACGAACAAGCAAACATGACAACCAACCAGGGAAACATTGTAATGGTACGTCATCACTAGTGGGGGGTTGGTGCAATGGTGCAGCGTTGGGGGGGGGAATTGACTTAAAGAAATTCAATCCAGCACGTATCGCGCCACTCGGTCCGTCTCTTGTCGTTTGCTTTCTTCCCTCGCCGTCTCGTCCGTCCCTCGCTCCCCTCCCGCCCCACTGGTTGTTGGCTTGTGGCCTCGTTTGAGCGCTCGTTGTCGGCTGGCCTCTTGCTCCTTCTTGTGCCAGGAGGTCATGAACCTCTCAGCTCCCTGCATCACCGCCGCATGCCAGGATACTCCCCACTCCACTTTCGCGGTTTCCGTCCACTGTAACTTCGGTACCGTGTCTTTCGGTACCGGGATTCCGAGATAACATGGATCGGTTTTCGTAGATCCGTGGTCGGCCCAGAATCCCTTCAGGTCGTCGAGCACACACTTCGGCCAGTTCTGTTCCTGTTCCCCCCTACGTCGCTTGTCCCCCCCCGCCAGTTCGCCGAGCATCAGTCGTTTCGGGGATCGCCCGTCTGGCTGCCTTGCCAATGCTCCCGCGAACAGTAGGCGTCGTTGTTCTGGCATCCGACCCTCGTCAGCGTCTGGGCGTAAGGAAGCTGCTGGTAGGTGTCTTTCTTGCGCCTGTTTCCGATACCTCTAAGGAGCAGTCGGTGGTGTATCGACCGCANTCAGCGTCTGGGCGTAAGAGAGCTGCCGGTAGGTGTCTTTCTTGCGCCTGTACCTGATAACTCGAAGGAGCAGTCGGTGATGTATCGACCGCAGCGTCTGGTAGTGGCCGCTGAGTGGTGACCATGCCATGCAGCCGTACAGCAGTGCCTCCATCGCCTCCGCCTGGAGTAGGCAGATCTTGAGCCGAAATGGCGTTTTCGGTCTGGNGCCCGTCTGGCTGCCTTGCCAATGCTCCCGCGAACAGTAGGCGTCGTTGTTCTGGCATCCGACCCTCGTCAGCGTCTGGGCGTAAGGAAGCTGCTGGTAGGTGTCTTTCTTGCGCCTGTTTCCGATACCTCTAAGGAGCAGTCGGTGGTGTATCGACCGCAGCGTCTGGTAGTGGCCGCTGAGTGGTGACCATGCCATGCAGCCGTACAGCAGTGCCTCCATCGCCTCCGCCTGGAGTAGGCAGATCTTGAGCCGAAATGGCGTTTTCGGTCTGGCGAAGAGCTCCCGGCCATATCGCCTGAGGCACGCCCACGCTCCTCTGCTCCTGTAGTTGATCTCTCGGGTGAGGTCGCCATGTTCGTTGACGAGGCCACGGAGGTACCGGAACTCGGTCGTCTGGGCGTATTGTTGTCCCGCGGCTTCGATGGTCAGCGATGGAGGCGGGGGGGGGCTGTGGTGTTGTAGCCGACTTGTCCTCCGCGCGCATCAGGAGTGTTTCCGTCTTCTTCTCCGATACCGTTAGCCCGAACTCCCCGAACACCTCAACGATCATGGTCATCATTCTCGCGGTCCTTCTGCAAACGTCGGTACGACGCCGGCATCATCGGCATACAGCATCCCCCATACTGCCCTCCGTACTCGGTCACGGGGTGTCTCTTCCCCCCCCCGCTTCCGTCTTCCCCTCCTCCAAGCACACCAGGCTTCGCACAACAACATCATCCTTGCTGAATCGGATGACAACGACCTCGAGGACCTCGGCGAAGAAGATGGTCAACAGCAGTGGGGATAGCACACATCCTGGTCGCACGCCCTGTGTCACAAAGAACCAGTCCGATAGTTCTCCATCGCCCATGCGCACCCGGGCCCGCATTCCATCGTGGACTTGGCGGATGACTTTGATCAGCTTCGCGGGACTCCCGGCCTTAGTCAGCACCTTCCACAGCATCTCTCGGTCCACCGAATCATTTACCTTCGTCAAGTCGACGAAGCACATGTAGAACGATACTTCTCCGCCCCAGCTCTTGAAGTCGGCGCACGACGAACAGCATGTCGACGGTGGATCGCCCGGGTCGAAACCCGCACTGTTCGTCCAGAAGGATATTGTTGGCTTTGCAGAAGGCGCTTAGACGGTTGGTGATGATCTTGATGGGGACCTTGCCGACGTGAGATAGTAGCGGGATACCCCTGTAGTTGTAATAGTTGAAACGATCACCCTTCTTGTACAGCACCTTGATGGTTGCATCCTCCCACTCTAGCGGAGTATCTCCTCCGTTCCACACCTTTACGAGGATGTTATGGAGGTGCCCCAGGAAGAAGGGATTGTCGTCATCGATCTTGAGCAACTCGGTAGGAATGGAGTCATGGCCGGGTGCCTCCCAGTTCTTGAGGCCTTTGGTTGCCCGTTCCACCTTCTCATTCTGGAACCCCTCCCAACCGTTGAGTGTCACGTTGTCGCTGGCCGCTGGGTCAGTCGTTCGATGACCTCTGGGTAGGGGATTTGGTGTTTATTATGGTGCTGAAGAATCTCGCCCACCGCTGGAGGATGTCGTCGCTGTTCCGGAGCAATACGCCGTGTTAGTAAAGGCTTACCCATTAGACTACTCGGTTAGCGCTGACTAGTCTAACGGTGTAACTTTATGTTACAAAAGATATACGCTCAGCTCGTTAGCACCCGGCTGGATCGCATTTTTGGGGTTTACGGCTTGGATCTCCGGGGACGGACCCCTCGCCAGGCGCTGACTGAAAAGAACATAATGGTGCTTGGGAAAGTGAGTAGCCGGGATTCAAACCCGTGCTTGAAACTTTTGTCGCCAATTGTTAAACCATTTGTCTAGTCAGCGCTGACTGAGTAGTGTAATGGGTAAGCCTTTACTATCGAAAGATACAAGCCGTTCTCATCCGCAACGAACTGCTGGCTCCCCGCTTGTCTCCCGCTGAGGCCCACTGATCTCTTGAGGTGTTGGTACAGTCCTCGCATGCCCCGTTCTTTGTAGATTGCTTCGTGTTCAGTCACGAATCCGTGCAGGTGGGCACAAATGCCCGTTTCGACTGCTGTAGCCACTCCCTTACACGCTGCTTTCAGAACCCTCCACGTTGCTGAGTTCCAGTTGCCCCTCATCTCTCGGCGCGCTTCCTGCCGTCTGGTAAGGGTCTACTCCAGCGCTGCTCTCCTCTCTGGGGTCTCACACCACTCTTGGTTTGGTCTTCCTCTGTCTCTGCCCTCTCCTTTGGGGGCAGTTCCGGCGGATGTGTCTCTTCTCTCCGCAGCCGAAATGACTCGTTTGCTCTGATGTGGTTGTGACCATGGCGAAGTCGCGGCCGGCGATGCCGCCCTTGGACCATTTGCGAGACTGCTCGTCCAGAAACATGTGACGCATGGTGGTCTGCATCTGGTTGACGTTGAAGTTTGGGTCGCGGTACACAGTCATCTTCACGTCCTTGCTCTCGTCGGTGAATCCTGTGACGCATTCTTCTATGTCCTTGAAGTAGCTGTCCGAGATTTTCTCCCCCATCTGCTGGACCTTGTGCCGAAGGAGGTGCTTCTGGTTGATGTAATCGTCCGGCTTCTGTCCGGGCTCCATCGACGTGGTCTCCGCTGATCTCCAAGGCCGTCCGCATGCGTTCTCACCGAAAGGGTCGCCGGTAGTTCTACCAGCAGGTAGAGTATGGCGTACAAGTCCTCATTGGACTTACAGTAGGCGGTGTAGGCAGCGGCATCCATATTCGCAGGTTTGCGTTCGTCCTTGAGCAGTGGGAAAATGTCCCTGCGTGTAACCCCCAGGACGACACAGAGCTTCATTCAATTTTTTAAGTCGGCCAGATTCCTTCCGTGGAACTTCTTCCGCCCTCGAATAGTGTTGCCGAGGTTGGTGGTTTTGTCGCTGAGAGAGTTATCACCCATCTGGATGTGTCGTTTCCTATCGCGATGCGCTCCTGTTGCTGGTAGTGTACAGGACGATGCTGATTTTCCCTGCTGTCGCAGCAGTCTCTCTCGTCGCAGGAGGGGTTTTTTTCTCGTGGTGTCAACCCGAGACTTCTCGACTCCGCTCCCGTTCAAGAGGAAAAGGATTGTAGGTCATCTTTTCCCGGCCCCGCTCCTGTTTATCTTTCCTCGCGGATGGGTGTATAGGACTACGGTGTGGACCGTCCCTGCCGTCGATGCGGCAGTTAGTTGTCTGCTCGATGTTCGAGCCTTTTTGCACCAGCGGAATTAGAGTTATGCCAGCATTACAGGAGCTCCTCCTTCTGCCCGTATTAATGTGTGATTCGAAGCCCTGATTGTGTGCGTGAGACCGTATTCCGCTCACGGGTCTTCCTCAGTCGAACATGTCTTTCCTGGCTCGACCTCGTATCTGCAGGATGATCTTCGAACCGAAATCCGAACTGTTCGAACCGCAACCAAGCGTTGTCCGGTATCTTCTCCGCAGTTCGATGCACAGAAGTCTGATGTGGCTGAGAGGTCCAGTTGCAATCTCGTCGTCTTGTCCACAACTCGATGTGTACGCGTTAATGCGAGGATCATAACGTCTCGGCGAGCAACAGCGTCTCAGCAGCAGTGGGTGTGCGCTGAATGCTGCGGTGACTTCGTAGGCTATGCTTGGTACAACAGCCTACGACAGAGGCTACAATTCGCTGGACTCTTAGTCCGAGAAGCTTGGCTCTGAGTACGCAGGAAGTCCTAAGCATAAGAAGATGGGTTGGTGGAAATGTAGTTGATCAGTGGAGACCAGAAAGAATGTAGAGAAGCAGAGTGAAGCCACAGAGGTGGATCGCTCCAGAGAAGCAGAGGGTTGGAAAACCCCCAACGAAACAGAGTGAGAGGATGGGGCGAGTACTAGCTCATCCTCGAAATCATGGAATCACATCTATCCGACAACGTTGACCAATCACACGTGTTCACAATACGGTGCTGGTAAGCCACGATACGTTTCTGGAAAGATGATTTCAACACCATGCTCTCGAACTTGTGCAACGTATGCACATCAAGTATGTATGGTACTTGCACCCACAAGTGATTAATTGCACTAACGTATGACAAAACGCAGGATACAGCTTGAACAATATACTACTTGAAAATTCGGCTACTGAGCGCATACGAATATTCATTCATTCAAGCGTGCAAGTCGGAGAAATTTGCGACAACTACCCGATGCACTTTTTGTATGTGACTTTTCCCACTCCAGTAGAGTGTTCACTCTGGAGTACATGTTGGGACGGCAAGTGCAGCTTTGGCACGCCCCGAGTTAGAGGCCGGGCTGATTACTTTTTTTTCCCTAGTTTTCCGCAGGTGCATGTCCATCCCGTTTGTCCAGAGCTCCTTGCGTTCTTCATTTGTGTGTTCGTTGGTGTGTACGGCTTCTCGCCTTCATTGCGTCTATCTCCATACGACCTGATACACACCGTCCCTGCTTGCCACCCTTACAGTGTCCTCTTCCTCCTTCTTATTCATAGCTTCCTCCCATATCCGTACCGCCATCCGTCCCGGGTGTTGGCCGCCCGTGGCACGGTACGCAAAAAATTCGAAGGCGGTTGTATTCGATAAAGTTACACCATTTGACTAGTCAGCGGTTGGGCAAGACATTCTGGGAGAACGTCAACTTATTCACAATGACCGACCAAGTTCGTGCGTACATAAACTGACGGCAGAGTTTTCAGATACTTCTCTACCACCGCGTGCCAAAAGCCAAAGCCTCTACATTGTTCGGAACCAAACTCTTTTTGCAACACAGGAAAAATCCGCTTCGGATAATAGTCTGACAATCTGCTATTTCTGAAACACATTCATCACAGAATGGTGCGGACCTGATCCAAACACGACGTTGCAGCAGCAGTAGGTAGTGCAGACCCACAAACATGAATGAATAGACCATGTCACATCAACATATTGCTAAATAGTCCATCCATAACAGCAGCAGGGTCATAGTGCGAACCCATCTGAAAATATTTGCAACACAGCAGCACAACATTAGTGCGGTATAGTGCGGACCCAAACTCTTTTGACAACAACTGCCAACAGTACGGTGTATGTATCGTGGGGACGCAAACTCAACCGAATTTTTTCCCTCACATATCGCCAGCCCGAAGTCGGAAATTGCTCATTAGTTACTCGCAGGCCGTCGTCGACCGTCGGCAGTCATTTTGCTTGAAAATAGATTACGTACATAGATATGCAAAGAAAAACACGTTATTTGCTGCTGTTCTTGTGCAACTGGGTGGAGTCTTGGCGGATATGAGTTTGTTGTTGTGTGCGACTGGTTTGAGTCTTTGGCGGACATATGAGTACCGTGCCCACCATGTATGGACGCCGTGCCATGATTCCAGGAGCTTCCTCACCACATTACGCGTTTGAGAGAACGGCAGCCCAGGAGATAGACACCGGACGAGGTCGTCGGCAGTAGTTTGTTGCGGTCAGGGACATACACATGCATATGGTATCAGCACACTCCTCAGTTTGCAGGGTACACTGCGTAGAGCACCTGCGAGGGTGTGCCCACTACTGTAGGTTCGCACAGGAGGTCTTGTGCGGAAATTGACAACGACACGAGCACACACGGTATGTGGGACATTGTAGCATGGATGGGTGAAGATCGTGCCCTCAATGGTACATGCAGCAAATAGCAAGTTTATCGGAGAGTTCACGTGCAGGAGAAGGCTCGCTGGACAGCGTGGAAT